CGAGCATGGACGAGAGGAGCAAGAGGACGAACAGGAGCGAGGGAGGAAGGAGGAGGATATTGAAGGCGTCGGAGAGACGAGAAAAGGAGAAGACACTGAACAAAACACACAAGTTAAGAATCATATCCATCCCCCTTCCTCCCTCTCTCCTCCTCTCTCCCTCCTCTTCCACTTCTTTTTCCCTCTACTCTTCTCCCTCTCCTATGCTCTTCTCTGCCCGTCTCTTCCTTCTCCTCCCTCACCAGTATTTTGCGCATTTCGCCTTATATCCCACCCCTTACTTCAAAGTACCGGTCCAATTTCCCATTACCACCCACCTTTTTCCAACCCAAGATAGTAGCTGATGAAAAGACCCTGCAGATCCCTCAGATATCTGCAGAACCTCTCGACTAGCAGCTGCTACACTGCGAGAAACATCAGCACCAGCAGCACCAGCACCACCAGCACCAGCACCAGCACCAGCACCAGCACCAGCACCAGCACCAGCACCAGCACCAGCACCAGCACCAGCACCAGCACCAGCACCAGCAGCACCAGCACCAGCACCAGCACCAGCAGCACCAGCACCAGCACCAGCACCAGCAGCACCAGCACCAGCACCAGCACCAGCACCAGCACCAGCACCAGCACCAGCACCAGCACCAGCACCAGCACCATTACCAGCACCAGCAGCACCAGCAGCAAAAGGATGGGGTGAGGGGAAGAGGGAGAGGTGAATGGTGAGGGAATGGGAGGGCATGAGGAGGGTTGAGAGGGAGGAGGAGGGCGACGATTGTGAAATCGAAGACGAGAGCAGAGTGGTAGATGAGATCGAAACATTGCAGGGGTGGGAAGACATAGTCTGCACAGAATCTCGTCAAGCCGTTAGATATAGGTTTAAGATCAACAGTGTTCCATCATCCGCTACTCTCGCTCCCACTCTATGCCAGGAAGAATTGATCCTCGGTCTCGACCGCGGGCTCCTCCGCAGGCGCCTACGAGACACTCACTCGAGCTCGAAGACAAGAGGGAAGGGCTGGAGGTAACTGAAAGGACGGCAAAGGACGGGATGGATGAATGAGGAGGAGAGGAGATGAGAGCGAACGGAGAGGAAGCAATAACTGAAGAGCAACAAAGAAAGGGGGGAAGATGAAGACGAGAAAGGAACGGTAGCAGCATGAGGTTCACAGCAGACCTGATAGGGCTGGCTGCCAAAGTACTCGCTGTACCACCTGAAGCAGCTGTGAGATGAGAAAGAGGACAACTGGGCAGCTCTTGCCTGTTCATACGCTGATCCACGTCCTTTAGCATGTTCCTTAAGTTCTCCTCTACCCTGACTGCCTCGTTCATTCGCTCCTGCTCCTGCTCGAACCTGCCATGGCGATCACGATGAAGCTCTCCATGGAAAGTGGGAAGGCAGAGAGTGAGGAATTGAGGAGGAGGCAACACAAGCAAGCTGACTCTACCTCTGTCGGTACTGCTCCTCCCGCTCTCTCCTCATCTGCACTGAAATTCAATGCTGGTTCAGCATCAACCAGGTCCTTCAAACCTGCTCGAAGTCCCTCAGCCTGACAAGCTCCGCCTGCACCTTCGACAGCATCCCCTCTGCGCTCAGACGGGCAACTTGGTCGTCACGACGCCCTGCCTGGACGACCATCAGCTCTGGACCCCGGCGCACGTAGAGGAGCCTGATACCTGCTCCTTGAGGTAGAGCTGCTCGAGGCGGTTCTTTTCATCCTGACAGAGCAAGAGTCAAGGAGGTGCGAAAAGGTCTGGTGTCGGCACTTCGTGGCGCTTCTTCAGTTCCTCGATGTATTCCTTGCGGAGCCTGTAGCTCCGTCAGAGAGCTCCCGCCAGTCCGCCCAAGGTCCTTACCTCTCCTTCTCCTTCTGCCTGCTCAGCTCTTCTGCAAGGTCGTTCTCACGCTGTTGCAAGGGATGCAACTTGATCTCGGCCTCTCTCCTGGACTGCTCTGCCTTGCGCAAGCCTTCGTTGAGCTTCATGATCTCGTCACTGTTCTTCTGCTGCATCTGCTCGATTTCACGTTCGCGGCGTTGGCTTGATTCCCTACGACATCGAAGTGACTTACAGCTACAGCCTCTTCCCTCCAGTACCTCTCTTGCTGCAAAATCTTGCGGAGGCGGTCGAGCTCATCTCTGTCTTGAGAGCAGTGCGCTAGGGCTTGCCTGTGGTCACATGTATAAGAGAGCGCGAGCCGAGACTGCGATGGAGACCTCAACTGAAGCCTCAGCTGATCGATCTCATCTTCCATGGACCGAGAAGCAGTCAACGACCTACGGCAAGGTGAGCTGCTCCTCTCCCATCCCCGCCAGAGCTCACTGGAAGTATTCGGCAGTGCCTCTCATGAGCTTGCAGTCGTAAGTCTCCACGTGGGATCCCTGCTCAGTCAGCCGCTCAGTTTCTCAGCTCCCGGGAACCTGGAGGGGCTACAACCTCTCTCCGCTGGAAGGTCAGCTTGACCGTGGTGCCTTGTTGTCCGAGGATGAGATTCCTCAGGACTGCCAGGGGCTCGCCAACGACCTTCATGTATGTCAAGTCCCAAGTCTGTCTTGACCCTGCCAGAAAATGTACCTCGCGGTCATCGACGGCTACGATAACATCGCCGACTTGCACAGTGCCTTCGCGCTCCGCCGCGCCACCGCTGACCTGCAGCTCTGATCAACTGACGGGCCGGTTTCTTGATGTCAACGCACAATGGTCTTGACGTAGACATTGCCATCGTTCTCTTGTTGGAAGAAGATACCAACACCAGCCTGAACTGTTGGGAAAGTGAGTGTGGCTACAAGAGATACGATGCTGTATGACCTGAACCGCCGGATTCTCCACTGAACATGTCCTTGGTGCTTATGACAGATCGGCTGTTCATACCGTAGTTGCTCATTGCGATCACTGCAGATCCGTCATCAGTTTCGAAGCAATCGTTGAGGTTGAAGATGTCAGTGGTAATCATCCTCGGTGTGGACTCATGCAAAAACCAACAAAACTCCAAATCGAAATTGATAAGAGGCTGCAATCGGCACTAGGCATACTAACGCAGGTAAAACAGCAAAGAAAGGCAAATCATCAATTGCGAGACACAACCGTGTTCAGAGATCAGCCAATCAGCAGCTGAAGGAGATCATACATCATTCCAGTGAATCCTCAAATCATCCTAACATGTGTGAATAGGAATTCTCATTCAAGGAAGATCCGCAAGACCAGGACCAGAGGAGGACAGGTCATTTCTGTGATGCTTCATGTGGCGGAGAAGGGACCCAGGCATGGTTGGAGACTAGAAGAACATCAACATCGAGATGGCGACGCGTCAGAGACTCACGGATAGAGAGGACGAGGAGGGAGGAGGAGAAGTGAGCGCATGCTGGGGATGTAAAGGAGCCTAGGAGCGCGTCGCTACACAGGTCGTCGCCATGACGGCGAGGAGGGGCAGAGGACGCGGTAGGGCGGAGATCCCGGGGGGTAGGGGTGTGAGACCACCCACCCATAAATATGCTGGATTCAGAGTGAGTAAGGGGTACAAGAGAATTTTGTATTCAAGATAAGGGGTCAAGGGGGGGTACCTCTAGGAAGGGGATGGTGTGTGCTCTGACCAGGTAGTATATCGTAGGAGGGGGTACGGGTACTATGTCGAAGATCTGCAAGGGATGGAGTGGGGTACTTCAAGGTTAAATACTGGGTGGTGAATTTTTACTTTTGAACATGGAGGGGTAGAGGTCTCAACTTGGTGGGTGGGGTGGTTGGAGACGGTGGTCCCTCCACGGGATTTTGAAACTGAAAGTGATTACTCACCGGTCAACTACCCCACCCCCGTTAAGAAAGGGAAAATAGTTGGTAATGGAGGGGTACAGGTCCAACATGATATAGCCTTCCCCACCCCCACCCTGTCGTCATACCTGAATCCTCACTATTTTTGGACCAATGACTACCTACCCCACCCATCTACACCCACTTAAATGACCCCACCCCTCCTTACCACTCGAAGACCACCCCCTTCCACAGACAGGAGCAAGGGGCGTACATGACCCCACCAACTGCCATATGACCCCCTCGTTACCATTCATTCAGGGGGTACATTCTACCTGTAAAGTTGACTAATAATAAGAGGGTCCTGCTAAATTCTACAGCCCATGGGGTTTAAAATCTTGTCGGGCACCGTAACGACGGTTACAAACTGTTTAACGTATTAGTCATTACCAATGTCAACGGAACGATGCTGAAAGTTTGTGGGGCGGCGGCGGCGGCAGCAACAGCAGCAGCAGCAGCAGGAAAGTGATACCACTGAGGGAGGGATAGGAAGCTCATCAAAGTATTGAAGGTTGGCATTAGACGGAGAGGATGGAGTAAGACGACGAGGCATTCAGAGAGCAGGGGGACTGGGGCTGTTCCATCTTTCAGAGCGCAGGAAAAGGATGAAGACCGAGGAGGAGAAGCTGCAGGCGCGTCTCGACAAGTCCATCATGAGGCTTCAGAAGCTACGTAGCTCAAAGAGAGATGTCCTTGATCATATGATCTCAAACCCGCCGATTGGTTACGAGGTGAAGAAAAGTTTGGTTCGCTCGAGCAGGTAAGAGGAGGAGGGTCAGGGTAGACGAGGAGAGGAAGAGGTGAAGAGGGAGGGTGGGTGGGGGCAGGTGAACAGCTCGGGAGATAACGGGGCCTGGCAGAAACAACATGGAGGAGCAGAAGCAGATTCTCTACCGTAACTTGTGATGGTTCTGTCGCCATATCTGAACGTGCTCGCCAGAGGAACTGAAGCAAGCTAACCTGGAGAACGAGAAACGAGACATGGAGATACTGCGCTGGGCCTTGCGAGACGACAAGGCAAGCTCCAAGCTCGTCGGACCCTCCGGTCGTAAGGTGCTGGAGGAGAAGTTGTGGCGAGTTCAAGAGGGAGAAGGAAGGGGTTGAGGAGGAGGACAAGGACAAGGAGAGGGGGAGAGAGAGTGAAGGTAGACGGGGAGGGGTATGAGACGGAAACGAAGAAGAAGGAGGATAGGGGGAGGAGGGAGGGAGAGGGAGGAAAGGATTTTGTTGAGAGAAGGAGGGAGGGGGAGAGGAGAAGGATTTCACAGAGAGGGCAGAAACTGCTGAGGATGCGACGGGACTTGCACACTCGCTTCCTGAACTCAGAGCTGGAGAGAGCGATGGAAGAGCTCAATCTCGACGAGAAGAAGCTCTACAGGCAACTCCCTTCCTCCTCCCTGTGCCTGCTGAGTTTGCTGTCTGCAGGCAAGAGCTGAAGAGTTACCTCGAAAATCGCAAAGTGCAGAAACTTCGAAGAGAAGTGAGTCTGAGATACCTGCTTCTTCCTCTCTCCTCGTCACTGAGATACCTGCTTCTTCCTCCCTCTTCGTCTTGGTGGTTGACAATGACGTCCCCTCAGTCCGTCGTCACCAGGAACCAGCTTCAAAAGCTTCTCTCGCAGACGCCAGGGAGAAAGGACAAGGTCCAGGTGCCAGTGAATGGATCCTTCAGGAGCGGTAACAACCACCCAACTCCTCTCCTCTTGCCTCTGACCTCCTCGTCTCCCCCAGACATGCTCAAGTCCCCATCGTCAAGAGGCAAATGTGAGCTCTGGCGCTGCTGGGACGCTGCTGACGTTGTTGCCGTATCATCCGACGCTGAGCAGCGGTGGCTGGGGTGAGAGGAGGAGGGAGAGCGGTAGTGCCGTCTGACCCGATGGCGTCAGAGCTCGCAGTTCAGTCATCGCTTCCTCTCCGATACCCTCACGCTGCAGAGCGAGAGGTCGGAACGAGCCTTGTCGTCGCGGTCGTCGGGGAGCACGTGAGATTATTAGAGGAGAGGAGGGGAGGGTAGAGGAGGGGAGAGGAGAGGAGAGGAGAGGAGAGGAGAGGAGAGGAGAGGAGAGGAGAGGAGAGGAGAGGAGAGGAGAGGAGAGGAGAGGAGATACGAGAGAAGTTGCGTTGAGGAGAAACAGAAGGAAGAGAGGAAAAGGAGTGAAGAGAAGGAGGGGGGGAGAGGACGGAGAGACGTGAGATTGAGGAGGAGGAGGAGGAGGAGGAGGAGGAGGAGGAGAGATAGAGGGGAGGAGACGGTGAGCTTGTTTTGATGAAATGTATCAGGTCCCCATTACATCGAGCTGCGACATACGAGATCATCGCAGATGGAGCTGGAAATGTTCATGTAAGATATGAGATGTGTGTTAGATGTTAGCCATCGGAGGTGTGGTATATGTAAGATATGCGATGTGCTCTTCATTTCAGAAATAAGTTGTGACTTCACATTTTTTCCAGGTGTTGGAAACTGAATCAAAGAGGAATGTGGCAATAACTTCACTTGTCCCGAATAATGTCATGCTCCTGAAGGTTTCCTTTCTTCTTCTTCCTCGCTCCTCGCTCCTCCTCCTCCTCCTCCTCCTCCTCCTCCTCCTCCTCCTCCTTGCCTCCTCCTCATTCTCTTCCTCGCCTTCTCCTCATCCTCCTCGGCGCCTCCTCCTCATTCTCCTCCTCCTCTCGTCGTTCTCCCTGCCCTGACATGTCGGCAACAAGACGCCCAAGGAGAAGAGATCCACCAGGAAGCGAAGCCTCTTGCTCAACCACTTGCATGATCCTCAGTTTACAAGGTCAGAAACGACTTCCTGCTCCTCCATCCACCCCCCGCCCTCCTTCTCCTCGCCTCCTCCTCGCCTCCTCATCCTCCTCCTCCTCCTCATCATCATCATCATCATCATCATCATCATCGTACCATCTCCTCTACCTCTTCCTACCTCCTCCTCCTATCTCCTCCTACCTCCTCCTCCTCCTCCACTCTACAACCTTCTCCTCTACCTCCTCCTCCATCATTCTCGTTCGATGCTCACTTGCTGTTTTCTTCAGCTTCTTCAACTTCGACTCAACTCCTCGCAACCCTCCTTGGATGTCCTGCAACATCGGCAAGGACGCGCTCCTTCCACGCCCCTTGTGGTCGAGATGACAGCAGAAGCCAAGGGCAGCAGGAGAGGAGGAAGAAGAGAGGAGGAGGAGGAGGAGGAGGAGGAGAAGGAGGTTTAGATGTTTTAGATATTTTACTAAGATTCATGCATAATTTCATTGTCTTTTTCTTCTTCTTTT